AAGTCGCCAGCCCAGAGTACTGGGATTACAGGCATGTGCTACCTGTCCTATCTTTTTTTGTTTGTCTGTCTGTCTGTTTTGGAGACAAGGTCTCACTGAGTAGTCCAGGCTGGCCTCAAACTCGTGATCTGCCTGCCTCAGCTTCCCAAGTGCCATGATTACAGGTGTGCACCACTGCAACTGGCTTGATGAGTCAGTTTTAAAGCATCTTAGTGCTTACTTTGTGCCAGTCCTCCGGCTGGGAGCCCTGGGGCGTCGAGAGGGATCTGTTCGAGGAGCTGACAGGGAAACAAGCCCTCTGGAGCTCTCTCTGTCCCACGCACAGCAGTCTGTTTTACTTCGTGTTAAGCTTCTCCTGGGACTGCGCAACCTGAGAGATGTTAGGTCCCTTCTCCTACCCTCAGTGTGGTCCCACCTCCCTGCAGGTCATCTGAGGACAGTCATCTGGGGCGTGACTGTCCAGGAGGTGGCTTTTGATATAGACATAAACGTAAAAATAGATGAGATTTGGGCAAAGGAACAGAGCCTAAAGCCCATAACCCCAGAAGTGTTCATTGTAACTCTAATCAGGGGCTACACAGGCCCGAACAGACGGAGAGAGAAAAGTGGGGTCCTAGGGTGATGGCTCCACGGTAGCGCATGTGCCAAGAGCACAGTAGACCATGCCTGAGGCCCTGGGTTCAGTGCCTAATACGACACACACAGAGAAACGGGGAAGCTGGGGGTGGTGGCACATGTCTGTGACCTCAGCACTCTGGGAGGCTGAGGCAGGAGGATGGCAAGTTCAAGCCCAGACTGGGGAATTTAGAGCCTGTCTCGGAAAAAATTTTTTAAATATATAAAAGGGCTGGGGATGTAGCTCAGTGTGAGGCGGGGACTCTGGGTTCAATCCCAGTGCTGCAAAAGAAAAAATAACAATAATGACATGGAAGGAAAGGAGGCTAATCGCATCTAGGCCCCACCAGCTGGGCAGTAGCTTCACAGAGCCGCTGCCTTGGTCTGCTTCTGACTGGTCATTCTTTATTTTTAATTTTCTTAGTAGATATTTGCAGTACACAATGATAACATTTATCATGGGGAGTCGGTACACGGGCATAATACATCTTAATTCTTTTTTTCTTCTTTTTAAAAATCCTATACACCTCCTCTCCCTGCCTGCTCTTTCCAGTTCTTGGTCCCCTTTCCATTTGCAAAAGCCCTGTTTTCATCATTTTTCCCTTCAGTTTTTTTTAATCCCTGTTCCCTCCTTTTCACGTCTCTTGTTCCCCCATCCATTTGAAAAAGATCCCCCTACTTCCTATTTATCTTCAAGATAGATATCTCATATATAAATATATAATATATTTGAGATATATATATATAAAATTTCTTATATAAGGGAAACCATAAGACATTTATGTGCATCTGACCTATTCCATTTAATATTATGATCTCAAGGTGCATCCACTTACCTACAAACGCCCCAAGTTTATCTTTCTTTATGACAGACTAGTACTCCATTGTTTTCTTTTTTCATTCATCTGTTGATGGCCACATAGGCTGTTTTGAAAATTTGGGTATTACAAATTGTGCTGCTATAAACACTGTAGTATGATGTCTTTAACTCTTTCAGGAAAAGACCTAGAAAAGCAATAGCTGGGTCAAATGGAATTTCTATTCTTATTTATTAGAGATTCTCTACACTGATTTCCCTAGAGGTTGGACCAGTTTAACTTCCATCAACAAAATAGATGGATTCTTTTTCCTTACACCTCTCCAACATTTGTTATTATTTTTGTATGTTTGTTTGATTGTTGAGACAGTGTCTTGCTATGCAGTTCAGGCTGGCCTTGAACTCACTATGTAGCCCAGGCAGGACTTGAACTTGGGGTGATCCTCCTGCCTCAGCCTCCCAAGTGCTGGGATTACAGGTGTGTGACACCATGCCCAGCTAATTATTATTTTTCTTTCTTTCTGTTTTTGTACAAGGAATCAAACTTAGGACCTTGCACTTGCCAGGCAGATTCAGTGCCACTGAGATAAATCCCCAGCCCACTTGTCCATTTCTTGATTGGATCTTTATTCTGGGGAGTCTAATTTTTTGAGTTCTTTATATATTCTATGAAAGAATTTTTTTTTTTTTTTTTTTTTTTTTTTTTGGTACCAGGGATTGAACTCGGGTCCTTATGCTTGCAAGACAAGCAGTAGAACCACTGAGTTAAATCCCTGGCCCTATATATTCTAAATATTAGTCCTCTGTCTGAAGAATAGCTGCCAAAAATATTTTCCTTTCTGTAGGTTGTCTCTTCACTCTGTTGATTGTTTCCTTTGCTGTGAAGAAGTTTTTAATTGGCCCCATTTGTTGATTCTTGGTATTATTTCTTGCACCATTAGTTCTGTTCAGAAAGTCCTTGCCTATGCTTTAGGTCTTCAAACATTTCACCTATTTTATCTTCCATCAAATTAAGTGTTTCTGTGTTAAAGTTTATATATTGTGTCCATTTTCATTGTACTTTTTTTCTTTTGGTTTTTCAAGACAGGGTCTCACTATGTAGTTAAGTCTGACCTGGCACTCACTATGTAGCCCAGGCTGGTCTCAAACTCACAGTGATCCTCCTGCCTCAGCCTCTCGAGTGCTGGGATTACAGGTGTGGACCACCACACCCAGCTTTCATTGTAGTTTAGTACATGGTGAGTCTAGACTCAGTGTTCTACATGTCAATATCCCAATTTCCCTCTGATGGGTTATTCCTGCAGTCAAATTGGTTATTTAAAATGTGTTGGGCTGGGCGTGGTGGCACATGCCTATAATCCCAGCACTCAGGAGGCTGAGGCAGGAGGATCACTGTGAGCTAGAGACCAGCCTAGGCTACATAGTGAGTTCCAGGTCAGTCTCAACTATACAGTAAAACCCTGTCTCAAAAAAACAAATAAATAAACAAACAAACAAATAAATAAAATGTGTTGGTTTGGCCTCAATGGTGAAAAGGCATCAGCTGAGAGGAAGTGGGGATCTTTCTCCCTGGACCAGGCCTGCCTCTAGCACAGAATCCTAGAAATATTCTATGGAGACAGACATGGTGCACACCTGTGATTCCAGCACTCAGGAGGCTGAGGCAGGAGGATTGCCTTAAGTTCAAGGCCAGTCTGGGTTACATAGTGAGACCCTGCCCAGCCCCCCAAAAAGAATGCCCTAAACTAATTCTATTGAGCATCTCCTGCCTTTAGGCACCTACTATAAGTCAGGCACAGCTTCATGAGTTTAGGAAGTTTCTAGCTTTAATCTTCACAACCACAAGATATGGGCAGAATTTCGCCCAGTTTATAGATGAGTAAAACAGAGGCCAAAGGCCACCCAGCCCATACACTGCTGAGCTGAATTTGAATCCAGGAAGGTCTGGTTTTAAAACCCATGACATTGGGATGCAACATGCTGACCTCCTGAAGGAGGCCTTAGGAATTGCCCATCAACCCACCCTTTGAAGAAGAGAAGAGGAAAACCCCAGCAGGGAGACAGGACTTGGCCAAACTCATCAGTGACAGCACAGGGCTGAGAACCTAAGCCTTCCTTTCCCAGTCAGGGGCAAAAACAGTGAATCGGCCGGGCAGCTCAGTGGACAGCACACGCTTCGTACATGAGAGCCGGGGCGCAGTCCTCAGTGCCAAATAAAGTAAAACAATGAAGCTGGGGGCATCCGGTCGTCACGGGCGAAGGGTCGCACTCCTTCTCACCAGCGGCTCCTCAGCAGCTGCGCCCCAGCCTTCTTCTTTCACTTCACGCTTTCACTTCGGCTCGCCTCTCCCTGAGAGTTTCCCAGGCCTTCGAGTTCCTTTCCCAGATGCCCAGGGCGAGCCAGGGTCCAGCACAGGCAGCATCCAGAACACAGCCCAGGTGGCCCAGGCTTTGGCGTGCGGTGATGTGGGAAAGCACTTGGCTGGTTGGTTCTGTACAGTATTGGATCACAAAATATTTCTGTATGCATCAGCGGCTCCTCATATTCACAAAGTCACTGACACCAATAAGGAGGGTGAACCCTTTCCCCTGAAACAATGCACCAACACGAGCCTTCTGATTTCTTTGTAGTGCTGAAGACTGAAGCCAGGGCACACAGCAGGCAAGCACTCTGCCACTGAGCTACGTTCTAGCATGTTTGTATTTTTAGTGAATTAATTAATTTATTTTAATTAAAGGGCCTTGCTATGTAGTCCTGGGTGGCCTTGAACTCACCATGTAGACCCAGTTGGCCTCTGACTCACAATGATCCTCCTGCCTCAGCCACCCAAGTGCTGGGATTACAGATGTGCACCACTGTACCCAGTGCTTTTATTTATTTTGCAGTACTGAGGTTGGAACCTGGAGCCTTCATGCTAAGATACATCCCCAGGCCTTTTTATTTGTATTTTAAAGCAGGGTCTGGCTAAGTTGTTAAGTTTCCCAGGCTGTGCTGGGACTTGTGATCCGCTTGTCTCAGCCTCCCAAATAGCTGAACTGTGGGTGTGCAGCCCTGTGCCCGGCTCAGATACATATCTTGTACATCCTTTGAAAGGATCCCTACCCCTATAGAGCCCACCAATAGGCCGGTCACAAAACACTAACAGAAGTCATCACCTCAGGGCCTTGGTAAGAAAGGCGCAGGCGTTACTGTCACTTCACAGATGAGAGGAGTGGCTCAGAAAGTCGAGGGGACCCAGCAGAAGTCACCTGACAAGCATGACAGAGGGGGATGGGAACTGTCCCGAGGGTGAACATGTTCCAACCGTCCTCACCCTGGAAGCAGCCCCTTCTAGAAGCCAGATGTTCTGACCCCAGAGGCGGAGGACAGGGAACTGCATTTCCTGTCACTCAGTGCATCCTGCTGTTGTCGGATGTTACCTCACCAGGCCTTCTGTCCCCATGCCCGCATTTCCTGCAGTCCCGCATCTCCCCACTCTGGACGGTGACCACATCTCAGCCGCTGCCTGGGGCCCGAGCGAGACACAGATGCCAGCCACCGCCATCCCGGGGACCCTCTTCTAGGCGGCACTGCGCATAGGGTAAGCCATTCCTGACGGGAGAGGCAGCAGCAGGCCAAGGAGTCGTCCTGTCTCTGCCCCCTGCCCTGGAAGCTTCCAGGTGGCCGCCGGGGACAGGGCGCTGAAAACGACGGGCATTGTCTGTGTGCTTTCACTTCCCAGAGTCAAGAGCTGCAGGCACTGTTTTCTGTCTCAGCGCAGCTGTGACCCTGACAACACTCGGCAGAGGGTATCTGCCTCTGAGAAATGCCCCTTTCCCGCTCCCCAGGGCAAGAGTTATGCCCGGTGACTAGGGACGTGAATCGAGGTCCAGCTCCTCCACTGATTTGTTGGTTGACCTTAGACAAATCACATTCCTGCCCTTGCTGTCTGCTCAAAGGTGAAGTGATAGAGTTGCGTGAGACAGGAGGTCTTCATTCCACTTCCTAGAGGCTGGTGGGTCCACAGAGGAGCCTGGGCTGCCTTGAAGGGAGGACACAAGTAGCCTTTTTTATGAAAAGGGGTCCTGTCAATAGTAAAAGGAAGGGGCTGGGGATTTAGCTCAGTGGTGCCGCTGCCTGCCTCACAAGTGCAAGGTCCCAAGTTCAATCCCCAGTACCAAAAATAAAACAATACATTAATAATAATAATAATAATAATAATAATGGGAGTTGCCCTTTCAAAAATCTCAAGTGCACTGCCAGTGTAGTGGTGCATGCTACCCAGGAGGCTGAGGCAGAAAGATAGAGAATTTGAGGCCAGTTTGAGCAACTTGGTGAGATTTTCTTCTTCTTTTTTTTTTTTTTTGGTACCGGGGATCAAACTTGAGCCCTTCCTGTTATAAGGCAGGCAGTGGAACCACTGATCTAAATCCCCAGCCCTGAGAACTTGTTTTTAAAGAGCTGGGCATGGTGGTGAATGCCTGTAATTCCAGCACCCTGGGAGGCTGAGGCTGCAGGATCACAAGTGTGAGCCCAGCCCTGGTGACTTGATGACTTAGTGAGACTTTGTCCCATAATAAAAAATAAAAAGGACTGTGCATGTAGCTCAGTGCAAAGGCTCTGTGTTCAACCCCAGTACCAAAAAGTAAATTAATTAATTAATTAAAGAGAATAAGATTTTTTTAAAAGGCTAAGGATGTAGCTTGATGGTAGAGCACCCATGGGTTCCCCAATACAGGGAAAAAAATATCTAAGAACACTGAACTATGATTGCCATTTACTGAGCTTTTATGATGTACCAGGTACTTTTTGTTTTTTTAAGACAGGGTCTCCCTATGTAGTTTAGGTTGACTTCAAACTCATGGAGATCCTCCTGCTTCAGCTTCCCAAGTGCTGGGACCACAGGTGTGCACTACCACATCAGACTCTGTGTGTGTGTGTGTGTGTGTGTGTGTGTGTGTGTGTGCGCACACGTGCGCCACCAGTGACTGACCCCAGGGCCTGGCACATGCTAAGCCAGTACTAAGTACTATCTACACCTCCAGCCCCAGGGATAGTATTTTTCACAACTTCCCGAAAAAAAAATTAGGGCCGAGGATTTAGCTCAGAGGTTCGGTGGCCTGCCTCGCAAGCGCAAGGACCTGAGTTCGATCCCGGTACCACACAAAAAAACAAAAAACAAAGATGCTCCTAATAATCACAATAACAACTAACATATTCACCTACTATATTAATTTCTTTAAATCCTCACCAGAAACCCCCTTAACAGATGAGAAAGGAAAAGATAAATGCATTCAGTGTCAAAGGAGGCCATTGCTGGGATTTGAACTCAGACAATCTGCTCCTATCTCCCTTGTGCCCTGATTTGGTCTTATGGTTTAAAACTAGATGTCCCCTGAGAACCTCATACATTCACAGGTGGGACTTTCAGAAAGTGATTGAATCATGGGGGCCCTATAGCTGATTTATGGTTGGGAGGTGGGGTCTGCTCAGAAGAGGCGGGTCCCAGGCATGACTCGGAAGTCTGTATTTCCCTTCCTGGTTCTTTGCTTCATCGTGCTTCCTGGCTCTCATGAAGTAAGCAGCTTTCCAGTGCCCAGGATCGTCCACTGTCAAGGACTGAAACTTCTAAAATGTAAGCCAAAAGGAAACCTTTCCTCCTTTAAATTGTAGGTATTCCATTCAGTCAGTATTATGATCTAGAAATGAGAAAGTCACTAAGACAGATCTGGGTACCAGAGAAGTGGGGTCATTGTCAGCACTATACCTGACGGTGTGGTTGAGAAACCTTTGGAACTGGTTTATAGGAAGAGTTTAGAAGGAGATAGAGATGCTGGTTGGAGGAGCAGCTTTAGAACACTTAATAATGGGATATTCTGATCAGAGCTCAGAAGACTGATAAAAGAGCAGACAGTAAAGACCAAGCTCGGGAGGTTTCAGTTGGGAACAATGGTGTCATTGCCAGTTGAGCTAGTGATCATGTGTGTTATGCTCGGGCAGAAAATTTGTCTACATTTCACTCACGTCCTGAGACTGTGGGAGATCAAGATTAAGGATGGCAGACTAATCTGACAGAGGAAAATTTAAGGCAGCCCAACATTCAGGCGGGTATGGTTGGAGGCTTCTAGCCAGCTCTCCACTGAGAATCAAGGCAAACGGCACAGCTGAGCGCTTTTAGAAGTTTTGAGTTTCACCAGAGAGAGCTTCTGTAAAGTTGGGATCTGTAAATTGAAGCAAAGGAGAGCCTGGTTGCCGAAAAGATTAGCATTATAAAGAAGCCAAGTACCTTGCGGCAGGACAATAGGAAGGATTCCCCCAGGGCATCCCAGTAAACAGCAAGACCTCACCTTTTGTCTTCAAACTTGCAGAGAGCCCCAGGGCACCCTGCTTGAGAAGGGCAGGTGAGCTACAGTTTGTTGAGATTCCTTTCACTGTGCTCAGCCAGCCATCCAGTTCTCAGAGGCTGCAGCAGCTATGATTCAAGGAGGCCCAACCACTGCTCAATAGGCAACCTTAGAGTTGCTCATGTGGTACTGATTTTCCAGGCATGCAGAATGCAAGAGCTGTGGGGTCAGAAAAATCCAACCCAGATTTCAGAAGAGGGCCTGGGGGGCTGGGGGTGGGGAATGTTATGGTTTCTATCTACATGATCCCCAGGGGCCTCATGTGTTCATAGGCAGGGCTTTTGGATGGTGATTGAATTATGGGGGTGCTATAGCCTACTTGCTGTTAGAAGGTAGGGTCTGTTGGAGGAGATGGGTCACTTGAGGCATGACCTGAAAGGGTTATCTTCCTCTCAGTTTCCTCCCTTTGCTCGCTGGTTCCTGGTTGTCACAAGGTAAGCTGCTTTGCTCTACTCAGGCCCTTCCGTGCCACTAATCATACAAGGACCAGAACTTTAAAACATAAGCCAAAATAAGCTCACCATCTTTATTTGTTTTGTTTTGTTTTTTTGGTACCGGGGATGGAACTCAGGTCCTTGCGCTTGCAAGGCAGGTGGCAGAACCACTGAGCTAAATCCCCGGACTTTTTCTTTTTCTCCACTGTCTTTAAATTGTGGGTGTTGGGTATTGTCTCCCAGCAAGGAGAAAGTGACGGAGACACTTAAAGTATATTCCATTTGAGAGAACTCCTTTCCATCCGAATGGATTTCATTAATTAGCTGTTGAGCAGGCACTGGTGCCAAGGCATGGAAGATACAGAAAGAATAGAAGCTCTGCCCCTAATCCTGATGACCTGTGTGTCTTCAGCCACACACCACTGAGCCTCCATTATCTGTGAAGCAACTACAACCATAATCCCCTGCTCCATTGTGCTGGGCATTGAACCAAGGGCCTCTGACATGTTAGGTGAGCGCTCTACTACTGAGCCACATCCCCAGCTCAACCATAATTCCTTTTTTTTTTCTTTTTCCTCACTACATAATCAGTCTGGCCAGGAACCCACATATACAAGCTCCCAGACTGACCTGGGACTTCCCATACTCCCACCCCAGTGCCTCCAGTACTGGATTACAGACATGCACCTCCACACCTAGCTCGAACAATTGCTTTCTTAGAGAGGTGTGTGGATGAAATTAGATTATGGCTGGGAAAGACATTTTGCAAGTCTTTTTTTTCTTTTTGGGTTTTGTTGTTGTTGTTGTTTTGGTTTGTTTTTTTTTAGACAGGGTCTCACCGTGTAGTTGAGACTGACCTGGAAATCACTATGTAGCCCAGGCTGGTCTCAAACTCACAGCGATCCTCCTGCCTCAGCCTCCTGAGATTACAGGCGTGGGCCACCACGCCCAGCTGATATTTTGCAAAATTTAAGTTCCATACAAAATCTAGTGCGGGAGAAAGACAATGTGGAATTCACTGGTGTCTGTGCAGTTGGTCTGGGAGCCTCATGAGTGAGTGCGGGCAAGATCAGTCCAAAAGGAAGATCAGGGAGGAAAGGGAGCCAAGAAAAGACCCTTGTGGCAAAATTCTACAGGTGAGAAAGCAAAGTGACGGGGTAGCTGGAGGTATCCAGTTGAAAAGGGCAGGGCTGCCTGCCTGGGGCTGAGGAATCCCTCTGCCCTAGCCATCTGCAGGCAGAGCAGCAGGCTGCAGCTAGACACCAATGCAACAGGAATCCTGTGTGCGACTGAAATTTTACATGTAGCTGCATTTAAAGAGAAAAGGAAAATAAATAAAATAAAGAGAGAAGGAAGACAGGTGTGGTGGCTCACACGTGGAATCCCCCCAAGCACTTGTGAGGCTGAGGCAGGAGGATCACAAGTTCAAGCCCAGACTGGACAACTTAGTGTCAGGCAAGAAATAAAATGGGCCGGGGAAGTAGCTCAGTGGCAGACCACTTGCCTAGCATGTGCAGCAATGGAAGTGTTGTCTTGGGGTCACTATCTGGTCCCTCAACCCTTCCTCTCTGGATTTGACCCTCAGTTCCGGGGGAGAGCAGAATTATTCTAACCAGGCACACACCTGTACGTCCAGCAGACTGGGAGGCTGAGACAGGAAGATCACAAGTTCAAGCCCAGCCTGGGCAACTTAGCAAGACCTTGTGTCAAACTAAAAAGGAAGAGCTGAGAATGTAGCTCCGTGCAAAGGCTCTGAATTCAATCCCCAGTACTGAAAAAAAAATTTTTAAATCCTGTTATCACGTGTCACCCTGGGTCATTTGCTCTGCTTCATAGTAGTCTTTTCTATGGCCATGCGCTGTATTTACCCCTTTCTCAGTTGATGGACATTCAGATTGTTTCATATTTTTTTTAATTTCAAAAATGCCGGCATGCACACTCCTGTCCGGGTCTCCAGGTGTCCACTTGACTGGGTCAGGACTCCTGTCTCCTAGGTCCTTGGCAGGACATCACTGGGAACAGCTGCCAGGAGTGGCACTGAAACACCCAAGGGTGGCAGGGACACCTTTAAGTTCACTAGGTCTGGCAAAGCTCGTGTCTAGCGTGACTGAGCCGCGTCACAGCCGCACAGCTAAGTACCGACAGCTTCACCTCGGTCCCACGCTGATACTGTCGAGACCCGAGGGAGCCAAATTCGCCTTTCTGTGTCTCCTGCTGAGGTGGAGAACCTTTCCAAAGGATTGTGGACTGTTGCTCTTTCGTGCCAAGTGTTTTTCTTATTTGTAAGAAAAAAAAACTAGCTTTGTGCTCTCTCTCTCTCTCTCTCTCTCTCTCTCTCTCTCTCTCTGTGGTGCCCAGGATCAAACTCAGATCCTTGTGCTTGCAAGGCAGGCAGCAGAACCACTGAGCTAAATCCCCGGCCCTAACTTTGGTCTTTGTTAATTCTTTCTATTGCTTTCCCAGGTCATTAATATCTGCTCTCATTATTTCTTTTTGTTTGTTTGTTTTCTGGTTTTTTGAGACAGGGGTTCACTCTGTAGTTCAGGCTGGCCTTGAACTCACTATGTAGCCCAGGCTGGCCTCAAACTCATAGCAATCCTCCTGTCTCAGCCTCCTGAGCAGTGAGTTTATAGGTGTGCATCACCGCGTGTGGCTTCCGCTCTTATTTCTAGCTTCAGTCTTCTGCTGTTATTTTTATAGTTCCATGAGTTGGTTGTTTAGCTCATTGGACTTTTTCCTTTCTAGTATGAGCATTAAGGGCTATGTGTTGCAGTTTCATAGCATTAAGTTCTTTCTTTCTTTCTTCCTTCCTTCCTTCCTTCCTTCCTTCCTTCCTTTCATTGCTGGTACCAGGGATCAAACTCAGGACCTTGCACTTGCAAAGCAAGCACAGTCCCATTGAGCTAGATCCCCGGCCCTCATAACATTCAATTCTATATATTGTATAACATCCCTTATGTTTTTTGACCCAGAAGTGTGTTTAAATTTCTATATCTGTGAAGTTTGCTAGTCATATTTTTTTATGACAGAATTTATGACTGGAATAAAATCCTAACAACAGCACTGTATGTAAATAATTATTAGATTACCAAGATGTTCTAAACATTTCTTCATTTGTAACTCAGGAAGAGTAATGCTGACTTAACTCATAGGAGAATTGATTAAATCACTATTTAATTTCCAAACAAATTTCTGGGCAAAGCAAAGAAAGCCTAAGTTACAGAAAATAACTAATTATTATCCAGTAAAACATTAATCATTTTTTGTTACAAATATCTTCTGTTTTTTCACTAACATTGTCTTTGGAATTGCACAGAAGGTAGAGACTAAAGTCTTTCTGAAAAAAAAAAAAATAAGGCCAGGCAAAGTTAAATAATGCTCAGATTTAAACATTGGGTGTGCCTTAGCAATACAGGTTAAAGAATCATTTTACTTATTTTTTTATTCTTTTTTTTTTTTTTGGTTTTTTGAGACAGGGTCTCACTATGTAGTTGAGACTGATCTGGAACTCACTATGTAGCCCAGGCTGGTCTCCTCACAGGATTCTCCTGCCTCAGCCTCCCGAGTGCTGGGATTACAGGCATGCGCCATCACGCCCAGTTTAATGTTAGTCATATTTTTAAAATCTTAATTGCTAAGCATATTGCATATGGTCAGAGCATAGTTGGTTTTTTTTTGTTTTCTTTTCTTTTCTTTCATAGTTTCTATACTATAGTCACTTAGGACTTTTGGGTAAGTGTCCACATCTGCTTCAAAACAGTGCATATTCGCCAATTGATTGGTGCAGAGTTCAGTATGTGACTATTACATCAAGCTTGTTAATTGCTGTATTAGTTTTACTACAGCTGGGACCAAATACCCAACACCCACAATTTAAGGAAAGGAATGATTTACGGGCTTATGGTTTCTGAGGTTTCAGTCCATGGCCCACTGGTTCCAAGGCAGAAACCTCATGTGGAAGGGGCATGGCGGAGCCAAGCTGCTCAGCTCATGGTGGCCAGGAAGCAGAGCAGGGAGACAGTGCCATAGAAAAAGGATTGAAGGACCAGAAGAAGACTGGGCCCTCGATGGACCCAAGGCCACACCTCATGACACACCTAGAAACATCAAGACTGTGATTTACTAATCACCTAGGTGGTTCCCAATCAAGTGGACAATTGAGCCTAATGATCACAATTGCACATTTAAATCTTACACATTGTTATTAATAATATGTTGTCTGCTTAATCTATCAAATCCTTATCTTTCTTTGAGATTTCACTATGTAGTCCAGGCTGGCCTCAGACTCCTGGCAATCCTCCTGCCTCAGCCTCCCAAGTGCTGGGATTTGATTCTGTTTTAGATCTACCCACGGCCAAGTGTAGGGTTACACACATGTAGTCCAAGTCTTCTGAAGGCTAAAGCAGGAGGATCACTTGGGCCTCGGAGTTCAGGGCCAAACTTGGCAGTATAGCAAGACCCCATCTTAAAAAGAAAAAAATCTAGCTGGGCATGGTCATGCTGCCTGTAATAGCCGTATTCTCTTGAACATGATACACATACTAAAAAAGAATAATTGACATTCAAATTTAGCTGGACTTGTATATTTTATATAGCATAAAATATTTTATTGCCTATAATTTACCTTCCTATCATTTGGGGTAAAATCAAAACAGCATCTCCCATCCCCAAATAGTTGTTTAAAATTCAGTGCCTGCTGGGTATAGTGGTAAATCCCTATAATCCCAGCGTTTAGGAAGGTTGAGGCAGGAGGATCTGAAGTTCAAAACAAGCTTGGGCAACTTAGCAGCTCAGTGGGATCTTGTCACAAAATTTTAAAAGGGCTGGGAATGTAGGTCAATGACAAGGTTCTAGGTTAAATTCCCAGTACTGCAAAAAACAAAATACAACAGCTGGGCGTGGTGCCGCACGCCTGTAATCCCAGCACACAGGAGGCTGAGGCAGGAGGATCCTGTGAGGAGACCAGCCTGGGCTACATAGTGAGTTCCAGGTCAGTCTCAACTACATGGTGAGACCCAGTCTCAAAAAACCAAACCAAAAAAAAAAAAAAAGTTCATCACCTTACCAGAACTGGCAAAAATCAAGAAAAAACAAAACAAAAAGCAAGGAAAAACCCCCGTGACCTTCAGATTCTACTTCTTGGTTTTGCTTTTCTCTTGGGGATTTCCCTTGCTTTTAAAAGGAAGTCAAGATTAGTCTTCGGCAAACCAAAGGCCAAAAGCTGCCAGGCCACTTCTGCTTGTTGTATTTCTGAAGACCTGGCTCCCCACTTGAATGGAGAAAGGGCAAAATACAGGGCGACAAAATACAAATTGGTTTTCAACATAGAATCCATCCTCTCAGGCAACAGCTGATGAGTGTCAGTGGTCGCAAGGTCATTTGTGTGCTAACTGGAAAACTCTCTCCCTTCTTCCTTGCACTGGCGCAGAGCCGGGGCTTTGTGGAGAGGCAAGGCCCATGGAGCGATGCCCGGTGATGGAGGCGGCCAACAGCTCCATGGCCGCCCTGGACTTCAACCCCATGAAGCACTACATGGTCCTGAGCGGGCCCCAGAGGGTAGCTGTCGCGGTGCTGTGCACACTGCTGGGCCTGCTCAGCGCCCTGGCGAATGCGGCTGTGCTCTATCTGATCCTGTCCTCCCACCGGCTCCGCAGGAAGCCCTCACACCTGTTCATCGGTAGCTTGGCTGGAGCCGACCTCCTGGCCAGTGCGATCTTTGTCTGTAGCTTTATCAACTTCCACGTCTTCAATGGCGTGGACTCCCAGGCTGTCTTCCTGCTGCAGATCTGCAGCGTGACCATGACCTTCACAGCCTCTGTGGGCAGCCTGCTGCTGACCGCCATCGACCGCTACCTCTGTCTGCGCTACCCACAGACCTACAGAGCTCTGCTCACCCACAGGAGGGCGCTGGCGGCCCTGGGCCTCATGTGGGTCCTCTCTGCCCTGGTCTCCTACCTGCCACTCATGGGATGGAGCTGCTGTCCCAGTCTCTGCTCTGAACTTTTCCCATTGATCTCCAACGACTACCTGCTGGGCTGGCTCCTGTTCATTGCCATCCTCTTCTCTGGCATCATCTACACCTACGGCCACGTCCTCTGGAAGGCCCATCAGCACGTGGCCAGCCTGGCTGAGCACCAGGACAAGCAGGTGCCGGGAATGACCCGGATGAGGCTGGACGTGAGGTTGGCCAAGACGCTGGGGCTGTTGCTGGCTGTGTTGTTCGTGTGCTGGTTCCCCGCCTTGGCCCTCATGGGCTACAGCCTGGCTACAACGCTGAGTGACAAGGTCAAGAAGGTCTTTGCTTTCTTCTCCATCCTGTGTCTCGTCAACTCCATGGTGAACCCTGTCATCTACGCCCTGCGCAGCAGGGAAATCCGCTCCTCTGCCCGGCACCGCCTGGCAGGCTGGAAGAAGTGCCTGAAGGGACTCGGGGCGGAGGGAAAAGACGAAGCCCCCAGGTCCTCCATAAAGTCCTCCATCACCGAGACAGAGGCCAACATGAAAATCACCCCAGGCCCAGCTTCCAGAGATCTGTTCTACTTGGATTCCTGATGAGCCCTCTTTCCCTGTCTTTAGCAATCCAGATCAGGCAGGCAGACAGAGGGGCTGGCCCTGCCACCTTTCTTAAGCCCTCTCCCGGGGGGGACACTGACGCTTTGTGTTGAGGAGCTTTGTGACTCAGGGAGGGCAGTCTGGTCCCACTGCCTGCACACGGCCAGTTCACACCAGGTCAAGAAACCTTCCCACCGCTGGCTTAGGGCTGGCATCTTCTACAGACCACAGGAGCCCACAGGAAGCCCTTGGGGCTGGCATGGTGAACTCGGAGGAGCTCCAAGCCCAAGAGGGCCCTGCGCTCCTGGGGACTGACGGTGTCAGATGAGCTGTCCGGGCAGCGTCAGGACCTCCTTGGTTCTGAAGTTATGAAAGGCCCCACCTTCAGGTCCTCTGTTCCCCTAAGGTCCAAGCACTAGGGTGTGATGCAGATGAAAGTTGTGACCGTCTTCTTTAGAGATAAATGGGGAGCCCTCCTCCATTCAGGGCATCTTGCTGCTTGGGTAAGGGCCCTCCTGACCCCCTGATAATCCCTGTTCCCGGCACTGTGACCTCTGAGAGGAGGCTGGGGTCACAGAGATACAGACTTCTGATGCTACCACGTCCTGCTCGGTGGTGCCCTGGGAAAAGGGAGCCACGCACAAAGGTCCTTTCCCCCCCCAGAGCGTCCCCTCCCACCACCTTTCACCCTGCTGGGCATGCTCCATGCTCCTGTGATGCAGGACAAGCAGGAGCAAGCGGGAGAAGTCACATTGCCTACTGTGTGCTGGGAACACAGCCCCACTCGTCTGAAGATCTCAGGGCACCTGATTTATATATCAGAGGGGCCAGCTTCCCGCTAGAAGGGCTTAAGACAGAGTTGAGGGAAACTTGGCGGTGGGAGGATTATGGAGGCATTCTGGCACTGTCATGATGAAAGGAGAGATACTGATTAAAGCTGTCTTCAGCAAACGTGCATGTGAGAAGGTGTCCCATGTTCATTCTCTCTTCCACCTGCCTTGTAAGTATGTGCAGGCTCTGTGCTGGGTCCTCTGGATACCCAGCCAGAAAGGGGACTCTGCCCTCATCTGGGGACTGGCGAGAGCAGGGATTCTACATTTTGAAAAGAAGAAAGCCAAAAAGAAATAGATGATTACAGGTGTACAGTGAAGGGCATTGGCAAATTCATGTGACAGGGATTAACTGAAGTAACTTCAGGTGGGACGGACTGCTACATACTCTGGTCATTCCTGCTGTGGCTTTTATTGAGGTGCTTTTGGGTGGGGGTATGCAGTCTGGACTGGCCAGCCTCCAGGTTCTGGGATGAGAGTCGTGCACTGTTTAGTATCCAAGGGAAAATTAGTTCCAGGAACTTTTTATATATTTACTTCTTTTTTTTCCTTGAGACTTGGCCTTGCTGTATATTCCAGGCTGACCTCAAACAGCGATCCTCCTGCCACAGCCTCCCAAAGGCTGAGATCACAGGCATGCACCACCACCCCTGGCCTGCCATATACTTTAAATCACCTTTAAATGACTTATAATACCCAATGCAATGTTAATGCTAAGCAAATAGTTGTTATACTGTATTTTCTAGGGAATAATGACAAGAAAAAAAGTCTGTATACTTAGTACAGGGACAGACAGCTTTCTTTTCCCCCTATAATGGGGATTGAACCCAGGGTCTTCACACTGAGCTACATCCCCGGCCCTACTGGGCGCGGTGGTGCATACTTGTAATCCCAGCACTCAAGAGGCTGAGGCAGGAAGATCGTCACATTTCGAGGCCACCCTGGGCTACATAGTGAGTTCAAGACCACTGCATACAGTGAGACCCTGTCTCAAAAAACAAAAAACAAAAAAACGTGTCTTGTGAAGGTACAGGATCCCAGTAATGAATGTAACTGTATTGTATACCTAGATTGTACCAATAAACTCAATAAACAGAAAAAAAAAAGCCCTCTGTATGTTTTCATTTTTCATT